TAATTACATGCACAGAAGTCAGAAATTCAAACAAAAATTAAGGTGGGTGAATCTGCCAGTTTTGTTTTTTGTAGGTTTAAAAAAAAAATACGAGATGCGTTCTTCCTTTCACAAATGTTGTGTGTACTGAAAAAGTCTTAACAACTTATGGAAACGGAATTCTCACCCATCTGCACCAGCTAAATTAATTAGCTACAGGTATTCCTAGCATGGGGATTGTCAGAATGATTTCCATATAGCTGTTAAAGTGGAGGACCCGATCTGGAAAAAATAAAGTGCTGGCAGCTGCAATTGAGCACGATGATGGTCAGCAGAAACCTGGCATTCCAACAGATCCATGCGCACTGCCTTGGGCATGGACGGACAAATGGTCAAAGTTGTTTTCTTCATCACAGATATTTTTAAAGTCTCAAGTTCTGTTTGTTATGATTAAGGGGACCTTAGCAAATGTAGGTCAATTCTTATCAAAAACAGTCTGAAACAAATTTCACCTGCATCATAGCAAGCAAACAGAATAAAGCAGTACTTAGCACACTAGGAAGGGATTCTGAAGAAAACTTTGGAAACGTTCGTGCCCAAATGTGTCCAAATGATTGCTTTGCAGAAAACATTTGGTTCCAATGAACAATAGCGCTGCATAACCATTTGCTTAGAAGAGGCGATACTTGCTAAATCAGACTGGCAACACAACACTGTGTGTGTCTACTCAGAACTAAGCCACACTGAGCCCAGACAGTGAGGTACAGAACTGCAGTCTGAGTCTGACTTCAGGGTCATACATGATGGAACTGAGGACCTCTGTGAGCTGGGCCAACATGTTCTGCACAGGTGATGTTAAGAGAAGCCCTGCTGAACCAGAGCTGAATTGGATTTAGTCCAGTCTCCATAACGACCAACCAGATGCCTCCAGGGAGCCCACGAGCAGGACTCAGAAGCAAGAGCCTTGTCCCAGGGTACTTCTGCCATTCTTTCTCCATACCACGGGTGGGGGATCTCCTCCAGCCCAAGGGCAGCATCCGGTTCTCAAGAGCTAATGGTGGGCAAGGCTAAGGCAAAGAGAGACACTCGGGATGCTTTTCCTCTTACTAGCATTAACTAAGCCTTGGTTCAGGTAACCTTTCAGCCTGCTCCTCGCCATGCATCTGCGGATGCTGCTGGTGTCTCTCCCTCCTCTGTCTCCCCCAGCCCCAAACTGAATATCCTCAAACAGCCCCTTTCCTCATAAAGGGAAGTTGCTACACCCCTGTGATAATTCCACTTGCCATTTTCTGCGCCTTGTTCCAGCCCTTCCACATCCTACAGGAAAGCCGAAGTTTCCTCCTGAGTCCAGTGGTAAAAATGGCCCAAGTGTCTTTGGCAATCAGCCGGTCGATCAGCCAATCTATCAAATCTATCTGTGCCACACAGTCACAGAGCCATGAAATGTTCTTGGTCAAAACATCTCTGCCTTGTAATTTCTCCATTTTGAAAACCTCCAAATTACAGAATCACTTCATTGTCCAAATTGCATGTTGGTCTCAACAGGATTTTTTCTGGCACAGAGTCATCCAAGTGGGATCTGTTCCTGTTCATCTCTTGGAAAGAAGTAATCTCTCCCTTCTCCAGACACAATGAGCGCCTTGTCCCCATGCATCTTTCAGTGCATGATTCATCCATCTGTCCATCTGCCCATCCATCTTCAAACAAAGACTGAGTACAGTTACTACGTTGTGCCGAGAAGGGCATTGGTAATGGCATTAGCTCCCCTCATAATTCAGTCAGTGCAAGCTAATGTACTTGTTTTTCTAGGCAGTTAGTGTACTGTGGGTTGAAGGATCACTTACTAGATGCATTTCTAGCCTCAAGGTCATCCTGGGTTTCCATTTGGTAGGAGGGGACCTGGAGAGCATTCCTTAACCCTGTCTTTGAGTTCCCCATAAGCATTATAAGGAATTCAGTGGTCTGAAAAAGCAAAAGCCCCAGGTCAAAGCTAATTTGCTGCTTATGCCACCTTCCCATCTGAAAATCTCTCATTGAGCTGACATTCAAAACACAGTTGTGTTATATTTGTTGTCGTTTTGCAGGGCTTCATTGCCTTTGTTTTGCTTACTGACCCATGCAGAGAAAGAATGAGGCAGGAGAGAAATAGCAAACAGGGAGCCTTTGATGAGTACTAGACAATCTGGACCTGGGGAAAACTTCTTCCCGGCCCCAAATTCGCCCCAACCATCCTGGGGAAATGCAGCGCTGCCTGCAACTCTGCAGTAAGGAGCAGCTGGAAACAAGGCTGTGACTTAACCTTATATGCCAGTGGGCCCCCCCCCCCCCCTTATCAGTGACAGCTGAAGAAGCTGAAAGTGATTGGGAAATGTCAGCATGATGACGTCATATCGTGCACTCTTTCTTCCCTCCACACTTTAACAGAGGCACAAAAGGGAGCAGCGTCTCCTCATCTCCATGCAACATGCAGTCTGGGCAGAAAACCCTGGAAAACTGTGTCATCCATTGACTTCCCATAGGACGGCTTATATGGCTCCCAGCCATGCCGCTTTGTCTCCAGCTGCTGACATCCACAATCGCATCCACACACTTGGCCTGAGACCCTGCAGGCACAATTGCCAGTGCGCAAATTCAGTCCAATAGACGGCTTTGGAAAGTGACTGCCAAATTGCTCCAAACTGGCCTCAGAATCAAAGCTGGCATTGCTTTCTGACCCCCCCACACACACACACACACCGTCCTCAAACTGGGTGATCATAGGAAAAAGACCGCCTGTCTTAGCTCCGAGTGGCCCCAGTCCGTGGCTTTGGCAACTCTACCAATCCAGCTTGGTACAGGGTTGCAAATTCAAAGCCTTGCCATTATATGCCCAGAGCAGAGTCATGGGTAGCACCGTGGGCAGAAGAATTCCTCTGTCCCTCCTGGAGCCACCAAAGGACGAAATGGCCATGAGAACCAAGTCTGATTTAATCATTCGAACAAGGCAGGACTGCAGCACTGGGAGGACTTAGAAGGAGAATGTCAGATTTCCCCATGGCAGAATCACACCTAAAGAAGGGGAATTGGATGATAACATGGTGGGAAGTCTTGAGCAACAGACGGGACTTCCTACATTAGCTTGAATTATGAGGAGAGCTATTGGCATTAACAACTCCCGTCTCAGCACAAACAAGGGAAGTCCTGTCTGTTGCTGGAAACAGTTCCAGCTACGGGAACAGCTAAGCACAGGGACTAGGAGATGAGATAGAAGATTCCAGAGAACCATTGATGCTGCTGGGTCCCAGAGGATTTTGTATTAGAACCAAGGCTTTTGACTTATTCATAAATGATCTGGAATTAGGAGAAGGCAGTGAAGTGGCTAAGTCTGCTAATGAAGCCAGAACTATTAGAGAGATTGAAATCTAAAGGGGATGCGGCAAGAGGCAAAGGGAACTTCCCAGGCTGAGGGACTGGGCACCAAAATGGCAAATGGAGTTCATTGCAAGTGAGTAATGCATGCTGGGGCAAAACCTCCCGACTTTAAGTCTAGGTTGATGGCTCTGAACTAGCAGAGGCTGGTCCAGAAAGGTAACTTGGGGTTACTGTGGACAGAAAAATGATACTGTTCATAGCTGCTGTTAAAATAACAAAATCCACATTAAACATGATTAGGAAGTGATTACCAGATAAGAGGAAGTACATCTTCATGTACTTGAGGCCCCATCGGTGCGGGTGTTCAAGGATAGGCTAGACATGCACATGGCAGGCATGTTGTGAGCGGAGCCAGCTGGAGCCGGGGGGGGGGGTCAGACTAGATGACCTGGGAGGACCCTTCTGACTCGCTCTGTTTCTATGTTTCATCCAGTATGTAGTTAAACTGGGGAATGCACTGCCACAGGAAATACTGGTGACCACCCATCTGGACAACTTGAAAGGTGATTCAACTAATTCACAGAGAAGATGGCTATGAGCAGCTCCTAGTGCTGCTCGCTGTCATACCTCTGGTATCGGAGGTGGAACACCTATGCGCACCAGTGAGTGGGGAGCTTGAACAGGAGGAACTCATCCTCTATCCATCCTGCTTGAGGGATTGTGTGGGTAGCTGGTTTGCCGTCATGTGAACAGAGTGCAGAACTGGCTGGACCACTGGCCTGATCCAGCAGGGCTTTTCTTGTGTTTTTATGGTGGGAATAGAAAGAAGGTGCTACCACTTCTTTATCATGTTGAAAATTGTATCACACACAACTTTTTCCAGAAGGCCTCAGTCATACCTACCACATGACCAAAATGTGCAAGTCAGAATAATTTCAGAAACTTCTCCTAGCCAGTCATCTTCACGGAGTGACTTATAGTTAACCATAGTTATAATGGAGCATTTCTTTACGGAATGAAACAGTTTCTCCTCTCTCTCTCTCTCTCTCTCACTCTCTCTCTCTCTCTCTCTCTCTCTCTCTCTCTCTCTCTCTCTCTCCCCCCCCCCCCCCCCCCCCCCCCCCCCCCTCATATTCACACACACACACAATCAGATTTAAATTAGCTTAGATACTGTGTGGACCAGAAAGGCAGCTTAGGAATACTATATAAAATAAATAGGCAAACTTCTTTTGTTTTTTAACAAAATAACCTGTTCTTGCCTTCCAACCAACTCTGCCAATGGCTACCACCGTCTCTCCGCTTTTTTGGTTCTCTCCACCAAGGGAATCCAGAAAACCAAGAACACTGCTGCGATTCCCCATGCCTGCCATCTTTAAAACTGTGCGCTGAGGAAACACTGAGCCCCACCCACTGAAAAGAAGCTGGCTGTAGTTGTCTGCTTGCCCAGAAGCCTTTCCACATCGCTGCTCCCAGCGCTTCCTTCCGAACAGGATGGCCCTTTTAACCACCCCATCACCCCCTATTTCCAAGCCCCTCCAGATCATTCAGCAGACTAAAGCAAGCATATGAATTTGGCCAAAGGGTCCAGATTGTCCAGAGTGACCAAGATACACACACACACACAGGCACAAATGACACAGAATCGTATGAAGAAAAGCCCTACTTACATATAAAGCACACTCTTCTGGTCTCCGACCTGACCTCCATCGCCCACAGTCAGTGTATCATATCCTCTCTCCAAGTCAAATTCTTCAAAGTGGAGCTTGATAACCTATCAAAGACATGTGGTATTAGTAAGAATGACTCAAATGTTGCAGCATTTGGCCAATTTCAGCAGAGATATCGAGTGAACAAAGATGATTGGGAGGAGGAAATGTGTAGTAGCAACTAAAGTGCTCGGCTTGGATGCAAGACAGCAGGTTGAGGTCCCTTCGGAGGCTTAAAGCAAAATGGATAGGCCTCCATATGAGGCAGACATACCCACACCATGTCCCACCCAAGAAGGCTGTCATGAGAATGCACATGTGGAATTATGGGCTGTACAGTGCTATGCACATAATCAACCATAATGACTGTCTGGGGATCCTTCTTCACTGATCGTTCCCAAGCTATATTCAACCTACACATGTCTCCCTGATCAGCCATATAGTCTGCCACTGTCTCAAGATCCAGCATGCCTCAGTGTTTGGAAGATCAACTTGGATCAGCTAGGCTTAGTCCACAGATCAGAACCTTACTCACTGGGTGACTATGGGCCAGCCAGCCTAACCTACCTCACTCGGATCACTGTGAAGTTGTCGTCTTCTCTGAGCACCTTGAAGAAAGGGTGGGATTACTCCCCCTAACGTAGCATCATGACCCCCTTTCACTGATGCTCAGCACCTGAGCATTGCTGGCACCCCGCTCAACAAAGGGGGTGGTAATCCCAGCACCCCGCCCCCCCACATGGTTTGTGCCTATGCAGGCCAAGCGCATGAACAGACCTACAGTCATTTCTGTTTCCTGAAATCCTTTTACGCATTTTTGCCTAAGATGAAAAAGTCAGGGAGATTCACCTCTACCAAGTATTAATCTGTGCTAAAAGTATTATTAAAAACCATGTAATGATGAAATAATGTAATTAATACAAAGAACAAAGGGTTGTCAAGCGACACACATCATTAGTTAAGGCAGCCATTCAAACAAACTGCATTTTAACAAGTCTGACCCTAATTAAACAGCTAATTACATTTTAGTACACTGTAGACCATAACCTTGTTGAAGAGAAACAAGCTTCTGGAGTTCAAGAATTATTTATGTATCCTTTTTTCTTTCCTCCCCACCCTCACCACTACCATCCTCCTTGCCCTAGATCTGCTTGTGCTTTTAGTTAAAAATGAAAATTATTTAATGAGTCATTAAATAAAAAGAAACCTCCTGGCAAAGGCATGAAATGAGCCTCACCTTTTAAAGCCATAGAAACCAACTACGAAAGCACAAGGAATGCACTGCTGAGGACGGCCGTTAGTTTTGAGATGGACTCAGAAATCGACTGCGGCAGCAGTTGCCTTCTTTGAGCTGTTTCACAGCTTTGGACAATCGAGTGATAAAATCCTGGCCTCTCAGACCTGCTCATGGGGGTGGGTGCTGCAGAGGTCCCACCCAGGCAAGTTTCCACACACCGTTATCCTTCATTGCAAACTTCCCCAACTTGGGGGCTTCCAGAAGTGCTGAACTGTAACTTCAACAGACCTCACCCACTGGCCATTCTGGCTGAGGATTGTGGGAGTTGCAGTCCCACATATTTGGCAGGCATCGGTTTGGGGAAGACTGTTCTTGGGCAGGAATGGCAGCGTTTCAGATTTTTGACTTACCCCTTCCACAACCATTTCCATAAGCTATGCTTGCTGGAGCTGATGGAAACTGTGGGCCAAGACATCTGGAGGGCCATAGGTTGCTATTAGGGATGTGGGCCTGGGACTTTGAAGGATTCCCTGGACTTGGTTCCCCAGACTCTGGTCTGTTTTGTCGCAGTCCTGAGTCCAAGTTGTTGGTGTGCACACTCAGCATTCATGGGACACTTGCCAAGAATCAAGCCCCATGCCCCCGGCATGGAAGAAAGTTGCTCATGTGGGGCTTGCCAGGGATGGGGCCCACACAACTGCCCAAGCAGTGCCCCTCTTCTGCACTAAGGGCAGCTGCGCTGCTGCGCCTGATGCAGAAGAAGTTTGCTCATGCAGGTTCAGCGGGGATGGAGACCCACACTAGCGTGGTCCCTCTTTTGCAGCACATGTAGCAGGTGCTTGTGCTGCTGCATCTGATGGTCACCAGTTGTGCAGCCTTTGCTCCACGACTGTTTGAGGACATGGTCTCATCTCAGTTCACCTTGTAAAACTGGGAGCGGAGGAAGACAGGGGAAGTCTGAGGATGGTAGAAGGATGGATTCCAGTGGGTTTCATCCCAACTGGAGTTGCCAGCCCCTGAGCCATGGCTACATAATTTGCTAGTCATCTGAGCATAGGATGCTCCTTGCATGGAACCACATGAGATGTTTCTCGAGCCCAGTACTGCCTTCTCTGTGCTAGCACTGGTTCTCTGAGAATGGAGGTACAAGGAAGGGTCTTTCAGCACCAACTATTGTCTTGGGACGCAGCAAAACTCAAACTCATTGAGCATTTCCAAATTAATGCACAAAGCTCAAACTGTCTCCTATCTGTATTGGAATCCAAGCCTTGGGTAGAATTTTCCAAATGTACACATCAACTCTACAAATTTTCAAAATGTAGCCATTTTTCTCTCAATTGCTAAACCATGTTTTGCTGCAGTTGATTTTGCTGCATACAACGCGTCACATTGTATGATCCAAAAGGGGCGGCAGATTGTAGATTACATTTGGGTCTGCCAAATGGGAGGTGCGAATGGTAGAAATTAATGTCAAAAATAAATTGAAAGGAATCTCTCACCCATCTCTAACACCAGCCACCCAAGGAAATTTGCTTGGAAGTGCTGGGGGTTGGGACATACTGTAAGAAATCTACTCCTAGCTTATAATGGGGGCCACATCTAATGCTCATGTGCATGTGAACGAGGAAGTGAGAGCGAACACCTGCCAAGCCTGGGGACTATTATACCAGTCGGGCTCCTCATCCGTCCTAGCTTTCCTTTTTCAATCATAGGAGTTATCTGTGGTGCTCCATGGTAGTGAACCATTTTGGGGAATAGAAGATCAGCACCATGGACAGTTCCTATAAGGTTGAAAGGAATAGCTGCAATTCATGCTGAGCCCCTCTGATGCAGAGTCACTGGCTGTCCCTGAAGATAAGGGCTTATATCTCTAGTGTCTGCCTTCTTATCTGGGACTCACCTATCTTAGGAAATAGATTCAGACTACCTAGATAAGACTGCTTGCTCTCTGTACATCTGCCCTGCTAAACACAGTCTTCTTTCTTCACACAGTATCATCTTTCAGGTATATGTTTCTGCAAGCCCTGCAGAAGCTCCTAAGGGCAGTCAAGTGCTAAAAGGAATTTGTTTGTCTTCCTCCTCCTCCTCCTCTCCCCGCCTTCCTTCCTCATCTGTCCAAGCAAAGAAGCCCGTGGGACCACATGGAAAACCCTCAGCCATTTAAACACTAGGAAAGACATCAGGCTCCAGTGGGGCAACAGCATATCTCACCAACAGCAGCAAGCTCACAGGCCATAAGTGGGCTCCACTGCACTTCACTGCTATCCATCAGTAAGAACTTGGATCAGCCATCGGATTCACTGAAACAAGGACAAGGAGGACCTTGTGCAGGGACCTTGGGCGGGTTTGCATGTCTAGCTGAGTGCCAGGGTAGCAAAACAGTCCCAGCAAGGAGCACTATTTCTACTCCTCTGTCTCCCGCAACTCCCACAACCCCCCCCCCCCCCATTTGGGCTGCAGGAGCTACCAACCCCCTCTGGAAGAAAAAGACCCTTTCCCTTGAGAAGTCTTGGTGCTTGTTCATGCTGGTGCCGCTCATTCCATTGCAGCCCCCTCCATTTCCTCCCCAAAGTGTCACATCTTTAAGTTTAGACTGTAATAGACCCCCAATAAGCTTATTTTTCATAGAGCACCTGGCAATATTTGGCACCTCACAAATCAGGAAAGAAGCAGTCGTGTTAGTCGCAGTGGCCACTGTTGTAAGGTTTGCCTACATGCTTTTGGGGGAACACTTGGGCTGTATTACCATACAAACACAGCCCCAAACCCACACCAGAATGAGAGACAAAGCACTGAATCTTCCCTTCTGTAGGCACCCCACCAGAACAGGCAAAGCAGGTGGCCCAGGAAGGGGCACTCAGGAATTCTGAGTTCCAAGGAAGAAGCATTTCCACACTGACTGCTCCACTTGCAACCTGACGCGGTGCAAGGAAAGGCATTGCATGTGTGTGGCTGTAGGTTGCATTTTGTCCCCTAGAGAGATCCTTGAGATGCCTGGCTTGGCTGACTGCCTCTCCCTTTCTCCTCCGGTCTCAGCAGCCCCGTGACCCCCCCCCCCCCATGCTTGTCCTGAACAGGGAAAAGTAGCAATTGGTCATGGTATGGCTGCCCCTTGCTGCGTCTTTCATTACTTCAAGGGCAGAGGAGGGACTGGAGGAGAAAAGACGCTTCTTGGGCTTTCTTCAGTCAAAACCACAGAGACGTTCTGACCATTCCTGAACCTTCCATTGCAGTCAATCTTCCACTGTAATCATCAGTCTAGAGGAAACTGCTTTTCACCAGGCACTGACTGCTTCATCTATGAGAGTAGCTCAGTAGGAGTTGCTCCCAAGGGTCTCAGATGGGGCTTTCCCCAGCTCTACCTGGAATTGCTCTGGGACCTTCTGCGTGCAATGCATGAGCTCTTCTGCAGCTGAGCTTTGCGCCTTCCTCAGGCTAAATATTGTTTGCACCCAAGAATGTCCTATGTGCATCAATGAACAAATACATATGGGTAGAGGCAATATGGTCAGGACAGCGTCACCTCTGTATTATTTTGATGCTGAGCCAAGGAGACCCAAATTATGTGTCGAGAAAAGGCAATCTCTAAAGGCTACATCAGCTTGCTTAGCCTGTCTGCATAATTTTCCCTGTGTTACATGATGGACTCTGCATTGATTTCACCTGATTTGCATAACAGAGGAGGGCACGGATCACTGTAGGGCACAGGAATCCATAAACAGCCCCTTTCCTCCAGCTTGCAAATTTCAGGAGGCACCACCTATATATTCCATTTATTCACAGAATAAACAGGTTGAAGTACTCCTAACAGAATAATAATAATAACAACAAGAAGAACAAGAACAAGAACAAGAACAACAACAATCCCACAGCAATAAAGGTATACAGAATTTTTCAAACTTAACTTCAAGGCCCCGGGGATAAGAAATCCCTTACTTACTTTGAAAGGAAAGCCAGAATTTCTGGGAAGCAAACAATGGCTGGAAAGGGCACGTGTGCTAGATGGAGGTGGGAGTCAGAAAAGGAGGAAAGGGCGGCTGGCGGTAGATGAATGTATGGAGCAGACTGACGGGGCAAGGAAGTGACAGGTGTGTGGCAAAAGACAGGTAGCCAGAAGTAGCCAGCTTTGAGTATAATGGATTCGCAATGTAGGCAGTGAGTGACAGGTTGCCTCAACAATGGAAAGGAAAGATTATTTCCCTGAGTCATTTTTCTGAGTCATACCAAATTCTTTTGGAATTCCTCAGAATATTCTGCCTAAGTAAGAACTACCAAATCCAGCTGAAGGAGTGATGATGCTGATGATAACTGGGGTTCATTGTGCCCTTCTGAGCTATTTTTAAACCTTGGCAAACAGGGACTTGTTTGCACGCACCTCTTTCCTTAAGATGCTTGTGACTTCTCCTCTCATTTGCCAGCTGGTTGTATGAATGTTTCCAGGCTGGCCAAACACCAAATATAAATCTTTGCTGCTTGTTCTGCCATCTTCTGCTCGCTCTCCGTGCTACAGGATTTGCTTCTGGGTGCATTCCGCCTCCCTGCTGCCCCGTGCTGGACTCTTGAAGCTCTGTGCATTGTTTTGGCAGCATATGAAAAACTCATTGCTGAATCGCATTTCCTGGATTGACCTGAGTTCAGAAACCCCACAGCTGCGGTGGCCCCGACTCTGAAAGTCTCCCCCACTGACCAGCTTCCCTCCAAGGAGGGCATCCCTTCAGCCCCCCAAAGATGCACCCATGAAGACCTACCTTGGCTGGGTTGACTGCTGTAATCACCCACACGCAATAGGCATTGTTATCATACTGGACAGGATAGTTGGGAGATGTGATAACGCCGCTGGGGCCTCGGAGGTATGTGTCACACATCCTAGCTGTGGGGGTGGGAAAAAGAAGAAAGAGGAAGGAGCGTGTGTGGAGGGAATTCTTAGCTTGGGATGCTTAGCCCCTTGTTAAAGGACCAAGAAGGAACAGGCTGGAAGACTAATTTTTCTGCCCTCCAGCAACCAAGTCTCTGAAACTCAAATGCAGTGGGCTTGAAGGCATCTAAGACCGTCTGTTCTACATTCACAGGCTGTGTGAACCACCAAGTAAATGCATCCCCGGAAGCCATGCACGGAGAGACACAGGGGCTCCATAGCCGCTGTGATTGGGCTGGGAAAGCAGAGAAGGTTAAGCTGCTGGCAGACCAAATTCTCAGGGACTGGACTTGGTTGGGTCACAACTTAGGCTTGTGTTTGCCTTCAGATGTTGCTTTAAGGCAGGTTCAACTCGTGCTCGAACCTCACATGTCAAGTCACAAACAGAACAGCCACATAAGCAAAAGAACAGAAAAAGATCTATACACACTTGGCCTGTAAGGCAGGTGCAACTGAAGGAATATTGAACCATGAAAACAAAAGCAAAAGCAAAATGATCTACCCACTAAAGCAGATCAGCCAACCCAATGTGCATTTGTGGGGAAGTTTAGGGAGCTGAAGATTGTCTTCCCTTCTTCTCCCCAACCTCATCTAGTCTGCAGTCCTGGACTTACCTGGGAGTGCAAACTCCATTGAACTCAGCTGAGCTTACTTCTAAACATTTTAGATACTAAAATAAATCAAACTATTTCTAAACATACTTCTCTTGGTTTTAGAGATACCCCACTGTTTTGTGGCTGAATTTAAGTACAATTGTGTAACATCGATCTATGACCTCTAACTTCGTAACCAGAAGGGCTAAAAAAGCAGAAGTATTTATTTGTCTTATACCAGGGTGAGCAACTTGTAGATGTTTTGACCTAGAACTCCTGCCCTCCCTCACCATTGACTGTGCTGGCAAGGAATGCTGGGGTTTGTAGGCAAAAGCATCTGGGGGTCTTGTCTTAAAGAGCTAAACTGAAACTGACAGTAAATATAACTGGGATTGTGCAGGAGGCGGCAAAACCATGAAGAAGGGGGAACAGAATGGAGCAACTGGAAGAGAGTATGGCTGGCAAGCTGGAATCCTGAATGGCAGGGCCAAATGCATCAAAGATAGGACTACCACATGATGGGGATTACATAAGCAGAGCTGGCTGGCGCAGGGGGTCAGACTAGAACAGGGAGGCCCCTGCAGAGTTGCTTTGTTTCTATGTATGACTCCTCACTGTGATGCTTCGTTGCAGGCCCCGCTTGTAGAAACAAACCTGGCTTTATGCTCATCAGCACACTAGTAGCATCACTAGCATCAGCCTATTTACCTTAGCTAGTTTTTTAAAAAGAAAAGAAAAATTAAGGGATTTCCTCATTCTCACAATAAAAAATGAAGCCGGAATAAAGGGAAAGGGCACATGGCACACAAGAGTCAGGGTATGTAGGACAAATTGCCCTAGAAAGAGGAATGTCTTCAGCAGCAACATAAATATAGAAAGAGACAACAGGGTCCTTCCATCAGAAGCCGGGGTTTTCCCTCACCCCAGCCCCAGAAATGGCCGAGAGAGCATGAAAAGGTGGAGACAAGAACTGGAAAAGAACTGCTGGGGGAGTGGACTGAATGTGAGTAGCAGAAATTTTTAGGAACAGAAGGACATGGGACAATCTTCCCCAGCCTGGATGCTGGCTAGGGCTCTCTTCTTCTCCTTTCAGGCGTGTAAGAAAGAGCACTGCAGGCGTGTAAGAAAAACCACACTGGACCAGCCCAGGGGCAATCCCGTCTGCTCACTCAGGGGACAACCAGCTGCCCAGAGAAGGAATCAAAGTGGGACAGGAGCACATCAGTGCCTGCCCTTCTGTGCATGTCCTCCAGGAATGACATGTCCAGGCACACTGCCTCAGATGCTGGGGATCAGACAGTTCCAGTCCATGGAATTGTCTAATTCCCTTTTAAAGCCATCTAAAAGTGTGATCATCACGAGAACTTCTGAGTGCAGCTTGGGAAAGGCTGAAATGAAGCAAGGTGCTCCAGGTGTACAGATGAGAGACATGTGGAAAGGAAATCATTAAAAGAGTGATAAGGGTTCGGGGAGAGGGTGGAATAGGGGATGAGCAGGAAAAATGGGAAACGCACTTGCGCACACGCACACACAGATAGGCACACACAGCCCTTTGGCACCCGGCGAGTAGGTCATGTGGGGGGAATCTGGTCCAGAGAACAGTTCATGATACTCCAGAAGTTCACAGCATGAAGTCACTGAATCTATGAGGGAGGGTGAGATGGTGCTGGGCAGTCACATTGCAACAGGACTGCTGATGCCTCCTGGTGGCCGTGTTTTTGCATGGCCCTATTGAAACACACAAGGCAGGTGTCGAGTGTGGGCATAGTGGGCACCTGCATGGGCCCACAGCCCCGTAGGGCCCACTGTCAAGAGCTGCTCCTCCTCTCGCTCTGGCCTGGGTAACGGGGGTGGGAGACGGATCGTCAGCCCCAGCCTCCTTACTCCCTGCCTGTCAAGCAAACAAAGGGTAGTGAGGCTGAGAAAAAGTATAAGGGGCAAGGGCAGCTAGTGACCGTGGTGGTGAGAAGGAGCTTTCCTTGAGGAGAGGAGCTTCTGAGGCCGTCTTGGCCCAGGCTTTCAACGCCCGGAAGGCAGGGCTGTGCACCCAGAGCCAGGCCTACAGGGCTTTCCATAGAAGTGGCACGCTTGCACAGCCCACCTTCCTGCAGGCATGGAGGAGCTCCCCGGAGCATGGACCAGGGGCATCTTGGGACCAATGTCAAACACATGCGCTCCATGGGATATGACCTCACTCCCCTGCCCTTATTGTTTGGTGAATGGGAGACTGGGGGTGGGTGGGGTGAAGATCTCAGAAAGAGAATCCTGGCATGAGTCACACGGCCATTCAGGGAGGGTTAGCCCAGTTAGTCCAAAGCATTCAACTGGCTCTCTCCTCCCTGGTCCATCTACATGCAGAAGTCAACTTGATTGCCAGCCAAATCCTACTTCAGTATTGGAGATGGGATCATGTCTTCTGCTGTACCCAAGAGAAGTTTAATGGACTCAGTGGTAGCTGCACCGCCCCCAGTCCAAACATCGGCCAATAGAGCTGGCTGCTCCACTTTGCCTTATATGAGCAGGAGGGTCTTCCTCACTGGTCTGGCAGGTCTCCTTGTAGTCCCTCTCCCTTGGCCATAGAATCATAGACCTATATAAGAGCTGCAAGGGTCCCAAAGGCCTGCCCAGTGTATGTCTCCAAGTCAAGCATTACTTTCATGAATGCCTCCAGGGGGGGAGGGTCCATGACCCCCAAGATCATTGGTTCCATCACTGCATTGCTCTAACAGCCAGGGGTGTTTCCTGATGTTCAGATGGAATCTGGCTTTCTTGCAACTTGAGCCCATCAATCCATGTCCTGCTCTCTGGGATGATTGAGGAGACATCCTGGCCCTTCTCTAATTGAGACCACCTTTCAAATACCTGAAGAGTATTCAGTCTTTCCTCAGTTATTCCCACGCCATACATGCCCCGCCTTTTCAATCTCTCCTCACAGGGTTTTGTCTCCAGTTCCTGAAACATCCTTGTTGCCTCCTCTGAACCTTTCTAGTTCATCTGCATCTTTCATCAACTGTGGTGCCCAGAACTGGACACAGTACTCCAAATGGGACCTAATCAGTGCTGCATAAAGAGGAACAAGTACTTCACATGATTTGGAAGTGATACTTCCATCAATGTAGCCCAAAACAGCATTTGCCCTTCTTATAGCAACATCACATTGTTCAACTTGAGATCTACAACAGTTCCAAGATCCACATCACTAGCAGTTAACACCAGAATGGATGGCGGTCATCCTGATAAATTTCTGCCTGACATCCCCCAGTTTAGGAATTGTGCTGGCCCTGAGGCCTGATATGAACGGAACATGAGAGGTTCCTGTTTTCTCATTTTGGTCCTAATCAGATAACGTGCATTGCCCGACAATGAGCTCTCTGCATTTCCGACATGGACTGCAGCCTTTGACTGACCCCCTGTATGTTTCTTTCTGGTGTTATGGTGGAAGCACAAGCTGTACAAAAGAAGAAATGCCGATCTGAAGCTGCTGCCCAAATCATCCTGCCCTGCCCTTAATCACAGGGGAGCTGCTGTATGCTGAACCAGGCCATTGGTCCACTTACATCAATGTACTGTGGACATTGATGAGGTTCAGATAACTGCACCCAAGGCTTGAGGATGGGTTGTAGATCAGCTGCCATTGAGGTGGAGGTGGCTGTTGACATCACTTACAATGTTCCTGAACCCAGCCACGCTAAGTAACCATAGTCTCTTAACCATGAACAACCAATGAGGCGAGTCCATGGTTTGCTCTTGGCTTGTGAACTGTGAGTTGTTCATGGTTAGCAAACCCTGGATTGTTATTGTGTCTGGGTTGAGGCAACCTGATAGCCTGTATTTCAAACTTGGTCTGCTTTGTACAATGGGATTTAGGTGAACTGTCCCTCTATGTCTTCCCAAAGTCAGAGAAGACTGCGACCAAGGTGCATACACCTTCACACTACAGAGGCTTGGTTGCATGAATGAATGCGAGCAAAAGGAAGGAAGGGATGTCTGTATGTTTCACACGAGAGCATTAGGAACATGCAGAACCGAGGGGTTAAGACTAACCAGCAGCACCCCTGTGTCTGATGGATCTTTGAGGACTACCCCAGGATGAGAGAGCGGAGCAGAGGAGAGACCAGCTGCTGCAGGTGACAGGCTCTCTGGTCGCCACTGTCGGCCTTTTGTACTCTTGGGGCGACTGTTTGCAGTTTGCATTGATCACTAATGCCCCCGTGCATAGGTAAGGTTTACCTTGGCTTACCCATTGCCAATACATAATAATTGATATGATGCTGCAATTACTGATTTTGCCTAAACTGCAGCTAATCCCAACTGTTATAATGCTGGCACTCATTCATTATTTTATTATTTACTATTAATTTAAAACTTTTATGTGCCGTCACCACATGTCTCGGCATTAAGGGGTGGGCTGTTTCTATCGCTGTGATACAATTCTGGTAACTGATGCATTTGTAGGTTTTCTTTTATGGCTGTAACCCTCCCAGTGAATTTTGGTACTTGGGTGGTGTAGCAATGTCATAAATGAAGTAACAAATCAGTCAAGTGGTCTTCAAGGTGCGCAACTCCAACAGGGATTGACCTCCACAATGGTAACAAGAGCCTCTAAGTTAGCTAGCCATGAAACCTTGATGAAATTTTCCACGGAACTGTGCAGGGCATCTTTTGATGGGGCAGCTGGGGAGCATCCACAAGAACCAATATACACAGTTGTCCCCAGTCATCTGTCCAAGATCTTGGAGACTTGAGGTGGACTTTGGGGGTTCTCCTCACCCTGGCTTTCCTGACAACCTTTCACTACAGCCAACAGTGACACAAGGACTCCAGAGTACTGCTGGAGGAGAAAAACTCTGGACAGAGCTACATCCATTGATGTAAATAAGTTCCCAGGTTTTCTCCCAAAGCCTTAAAGCAACCACTGGCCAGCATTACATACTGGGGATATCTGAAGGCCAAAAAACAAGATCTCCCAAGGACAAGTAACCAGATGACTGCCAGCTTTCTCAACATACTACAATTGTAGGCTGCCTTAACCGCTTTTCTAACTGCAGAAAGGTGAGATGGAACTCAATCAATAAATGAATTGTCAGAAAGGCTGGGATTTTGCATCTGGAAGGATTTTTAATGAAATATACAAATCTAGTTTATCTGTCTAACTGATCTGATTAGTAATATCATAACGGTACGGTAAGTTTTCCCTTATTCCAAATGAAACTGCTATGGATTTCATTTACGGAGTCGGATATTTATGTAAAATGTTCTCTTAGGCTGATTTAATTCGTTCAGTTTGGCTTCAGAGTATCAGCAGGGACTCTAGAAGCTTGGCAGACGGAGTGCCAAGCAGATGTCAAGAGAAAGGAAGGGGCAGAGCTGCACAAACGCTGCAGGAAAGCTTCGAAATGGCCCATGATGGAAAGATCCAGAGAAGGGAGTTTGCTTGCTTGCTTGTTTCGTAAAGGGTCACGGGCCCTGTTGGGCCTCAAGGTCATCACCACATTATGGGGCAGGGACAAGAGCAGCCAGGACACACAGACTCCAGTTCCTGTCCTTCTGAACGCCCCAGCACAAGTTCATCTTGTCCTTTGCTGTTCTCAGAGACCCCAAGAAGAGTACACGTGTGCCTAATGAGACAAAGGCACTCCGATATTGTGGTTAAATTGGTCTTTGTGGTGGACAATGGAATAACCCTACCGGGCTGGCATTGGGCAGTTCCCTGAAAGTCAGCTAACGCCACAACCTCTTCATGGCAGCATATGGAACTCAAGTTGCACAGTAAAGCATTTCCTCAGAGCACCCAAGGAGCTGGATATTGACTCTTCAGCACTCAGTGGCCCATGAAACTTCCATCTCTTTTGGTTTTGCCAGAGGACGATGAACTTGGGAGATCGCACATCATACCTGTTTGGATTCCCAAGGTCACTGTGTCCAATCTCTCTCCCTCCCCACTCCAGCTGAGTGGAGAAAATCCCAGTTAGAAATTTGGAACACTTAGAAATCTGGTGCCAGTTCCTGGAATTTGAAGCCTTTTACAAGACATCCTGCCTGAGATGAGGGGAAAAGTTGGGCACTGGGAGACGTAGGGTGTGTCCCGCCCTCATTCAAGGAAACTGCGTCTTGTATCTTGAGAGACTCCAGAGAGTCCAGAAGAACAAACACGGAGAAACCAAGGCGGCATGAATAGCCAGCCAAGGTTCTCAGCAAGGGGGTTATTGGATGCTATCTTGCAAAAGGGACCCCGACGGGGTGAGCTTGATTCGGTTCACAGCATCCTCTCTCCCCCTTTTCCTTGCATATAATGAACCCCTGAGAAGGTGGAAATTGAAACCAATTTCCTGCCCAACCGGGAGGGTTCACCACTGCGCAGCTGCTCGTCTCACCTCTACACACTGGCCTCTGGTCACTCCAGGCTGCACTCATGCCGCTCAGTCTCTTACAGGTGATGCTTTTGGAGCCCTGCAAATCATAGCCCTCATTACAGGTGAACTGGACACTGGAGCCCAACCTGGAAGACAGAAAACATTGTTCTTTCAGCCTCAGAACATGGGTCATCCCTGATAACAGAGTTTGGGATGATCTTGTTCTGATGTTTAATCTGAATATCACTCCTTGCATTGGCTATTTGTGGTAGGTTATAGGGTGGGCAACCAACGCAAGAAAGCAACATTGTTTAAGGAAAGCCACTGGCATTTCTCCCAGCCTGCCTGGGAGAAGGATTGGCCCACGGGATATGAGCTGCCGCACCCACAAAGTTTGGTGAGCCTGTAGTCCAAGGAGCTTCCTTTGGAGTAAGGAACTGAGTGCCCTGCCTGCAGCTGATGCAGAGATGGTGCAGTCGGGGGCTGCTCTGGGTGGATCTCCCCTGGAGACCCTCCCGGCATACAAAGGAAGAGGCAGCTGCTCTCCAGGGGCTACTGAGTCAATGCTTAGCTTTATCGGCCAAAGCCAGCCCCTTGCACTGTGACTTCAAAAGAAAAAGGAACTGCTGCATATGCTAGAGTGTGTCCAAGAGGGTGCTCTAGCAAGCACACAAGGAAACAAAAATTAGTGTTGCCCTGCAAAAAAGATGCAATGAAGACCCTGATTCTAGAGAGCTGGTGTGCAGGGTCATGGAAGAAGCCAGGTACTTACAATGCCTGCACATTTCCCAGCATGCATGTGCAGAAGTGGCCCCTTGATCTGGGAAATCTAACATGTGAATACCATTGCCTTGGTATATACACTCATTCCTTAATATTCCCTTAGCATCTCTTATTTCGATATCTCCATCTATTTATATCTATCAATATGTACACACACACACACACACACACACACACAGAGTTCCTATTGTGACCTTAAGCTGGAATCTGAGATGTGTCTGCTCAAAAGTAAGCCCTATTGAATTTAATGGGGCTTACTATCAAATAAATGGAGCCCAAATTTCACAATTCTTTCACAGTATATTTTAGTGGTACATGTAATGTTTGTGGGATTTGTTGGTTAGGACATTGGGAACTGACTCTGTGGATTTCAATGGGGCATTTTCTCGGCAATCCTGGATACTTGCATCGCTGAATCTGCCCAAACACCAGGACAAGGGCCCTTGGGGATCAGTGCAACCTCATGGTTTGCTGGCACAGTAATCAGTTCATTGTGGGTTTCCCAGTACAACACACAAAAACAAGCAGTAAAACTCGGGGAGACTCCTGCCTGAGGTCTTGGAGAACTCTGCCTAGTTAGGAATGGCCAAAAGCACAACATTCAGCCTCAGATTCTTCATCAAACCACATTTCTCCTTGGTTGTGTTCCTGAATTTGAACATATCCCCATCCTTTTTTCCCCATTTGGGCAAATTGCACACTTTTAAAAGTGCAACATTTAAAAAGTACACATGCACACACATTTAAAATGCATTTTCAAATTAATTACTTTAAATCCACTTTTTTTTTTTTTAGAAATGCACATTTTACCTGGCTAGAAATTCACATCTCTCCCTCAAAGATATATAGATTTAAGGGGGATTTGCATCTGTGTTGGAAAATGTGAACTTTTGGTGGGCATTTTCTGGGAATTGTGTTCCTGCTGGTGTTTGCCTTTGGGCCAGCAGACCGCCTGTGGCAGCAGGGGCTGCAAAGGGAAACGGCCTCCTTTCGCATCCCGGCCCGCGGTCACAGCCAGGCCACTGGCTCGCATGGCCACTGACTCAATGCCACATCAAGTGGTTCTGTGTGCCCCATGGATCATAAATGGATCGTGGCTGCCAAGTGAGGCCTTTTCTTCTTCCAACCCCCTCTCATCCCACGCTTGATGTTCCTGTTCCTTTTGTTTGGACCATATTTCAGGAGGAGGTGGGTGGATTGGGGTGCAAACGGAAATATACTTTTAGCAAGCAAAACAGTAACCAGCAGAAAAGTAAAAACTGAATATCGATTGACACCCACCCACCCTGCTGCCCCACTCACACACACAACCTGGCTTTCCTTGCAGAAAAAGGCAAGAGGTGGCAAAGGTGGGAAGCAGGCCCCTTCAGCGACTGCAAAGCCAAAGCAGCCCCCGGGGCTGGCTCCCACGGGCGGGCGGCCTGCCTGCCAGCGCTTGGGGAAGGCTGCCGCCAGCTGCAGTATCAACGGACGGCAACAGCCCATGCTTGGTCTGAGGCTCCGTGTCAGCTCTGACTGCCACGCTTGGTCTGAGAGACAGACTGCTCGGTTCCCAAAGGAGCAGTGGCCATCTGTTAATGGACCTGAGCATGTGTGAGCCAGCCCAGAGGTCGGTGCGCGAGAAGTGAGGGAAATCAACTCTGTGATTTCCAGGAGCCAGGCACAGCTGACTGTCCCTGAGATTCCTGAGTTTAAAGCTACCCCCTGCCCTTCATGTCTCCCCTTGATGAGGCAGACTTCTAGCAACAAAGCAAAACAAAAGGTGAAGAGAGAGGGGGAGGGAGAGGGAGAGAGAAGCTTCTCAAAGTGTAACTGCAGAATGGCAAGATGCTGTGTCCATTCAGCCAGTGGTCGTTCTTCACTTAAAACAAAACATTAAAAGACAGGTTGTTTGATATGCTGCCCACATGGCAAAGGGTAAAACTGAGGGCAGAACTGAGCCCTGGAAGTTATGTTTTCTGGCTCCCAGTTCTGGGGTCCACTAGGGTCAGTCGCAGAATCAGACCTGGAGATTCCACTTAATTCGACACGGGCAGCTTCCCCGGCTTTGGTTTTAACAGAGCTGAATACAACTTGGTTAAGCTGGATCGGTTCTCTGGACCCATTTCAATCAGACTTTCAGACAGGAGATAGTACTGAGCCTCCTTTAATCCTCGTGGTGGATGACCTACGCCAAGAATTGGCTGAGGGGGAGCGGGTGGTCCTACAAGTTCTCCGGGACTTGTAAGCAGCTATGGGTGCATTAACCACGGTATCCTTCTGAACCATCTGGAAGGTCCCAGAGTGCACTCGTGCGCGAGTGTGTGCATGCACTTTCTCCAGTGGCTTTAGGCCTTTCTGAGGCCCAGACGCTAGGACTCTAGGCTTCCTTCCTGGCACTGCTCCATCGGCCTCGTGTGTCTCACAAGTCATGCCCTGTCCCCACATTATTTAACCTCTAAATGAAACTCTTTGGGGAGATGATCCGAAGCACTGGCATCAGGTGCCATCCATATGTTGGCAATGTTTGTTACATGACTTCGGGGAAGCAGTCAATATATTTGAATGTTGCTTAAGTTCAGTAATGGCTTCGGTGATCGTGAACAAGCTGAGATCCAATCCATGGACGACGGGTGTTGTTGGTCAGAAGCAAGCCTGATTTGGGGATGGGGATTCAACCTGCTGTGGATGCAGGCATGTCTTCTTTGAAGCAGCGGGTTCATAGCTTGACAGCTTTCCTGCATCCTGCCCTGTTCCTGGCTTATAAGGCTGGAAAGGAGCATGTTTGCTCTGCTACTTTAAGTGCCCCAGCTGGGGCTATTTCTCAGCCAGTATCTGGGAGCAGTTTTCCAAGCCTTGGTGGCACCATGCTTAGCCTATCATGATGCGCTCTGCATGGGGCTACCCAGAAATGCCCATTACTGCAAAATGTGGCAGCCAGGTGGTACCTGGGACAAGGTAGCATGGACCAGGGGCCAGTGTGTTTGGGCTTGGCCTTCAGAGCCCTCGCTGCCTCAGGGTCTGGTTATGTGAGGGACCTCCTGTCTCAGGACGAACTCGCTCCACCCTTAAGACCTGCTGGAGAGGCTCCTCTGAAGACACCCCCTGCCTGAGAAGGGCTGGCACTCACGCTGCTCTCTGGAAGGCCCTCGCCCAGGATGTCTTAAACTGCCAAGCTTGTTGCCAAGGAGGTAGCACTCTTCCTACGTTCAGGAAGAAGGTCACAGCATCTTTTTCATTTGACTTGTTTGCAGAGCAGGATCCTGTGTGACTCAGCTGACAGTGAAATTGATGCGGAAAGGCCTCCCAGCCAGTTGTAGCTGAAGGAAGTTAAATGCAGATGTGGCCATCCCAGTACCATTGCAGTGTCTTAGGGAGTCTGGCAGAGACCAGCACTGCGTTGTTGCTCTAGCTATGATTATGTGATTATGCTCTTGCTGCTGCTGCATGGCATTTATACCCACCCCCCCTGCAAGGAACCCAAGAAGGCTTCTCCCCCTCTTCATTTTATCCTCACAAAAGCCCTGTGAGGTGAGCTAGCCTGAGAGTTCATGACTAGCCCAAAGTCATTTGGTGAACTTCACTGCTGAGAGGGGTCTAGACCATGGATCTGTCAAGTTCTGGTCAAACCCTTTGCACCAGGCCAGCCCTCATGTTCTGTGCCTGCTGAAAAATCTTTTATTTCAGCAGGACATCCTTGGTTGACCAGTCAATGCCTCTTTACTGGAATACTCTTTTAATGGAATGCCTCTTAATGGAATTACTGGAATGCCTTATTCTCCTTGTCTTTTTTATGGCTCATCTCTGTGAAACCAGGTTAGAAGTGGAGTGGTATATAAAAGAGGGTACTCATGCTATGGTAACTTCCTAACTGTATTATTGTAACACATTCTGTGTGGGGCTGCCCTTGAAGACGGTCCAGACACTCCAATTGGTTCAGAATAGAGCTGCCAGGGTACTAACAGAGACCAGCAGGTATTCACATATAACACCGGTCCCCCATTGCTTACACTGGCTTCCAATCGAAACCTGGGCCCAATTTAAGGTGCTGGTGATGACCTATAAAGCCCTAAATGGCTTGGGTCCTGGATACCTGAAGGAGCGCCTTCTGCCCTGTGTGCCCTCCCACCCCTTGAGATCTGAGTCAGAGGCCCTCCCCTGGGAGCCGTCCTTGAAAGAGATCAGGAGGGTGGCTACCTGGAGGAGGGCCTTCTCTGTGGTGGCACCCCGACTGTGGAACACGCTCCCCAGAGAGGCTCGCCCGGCACCAACACTTCTTTCCTTTTGGCATCAGGGGAAAACCTTTTTATTCTCCCAATATTTTAATTGTTAACCTGTTTTAATGGGTGGTTTTATATTTAACATTGGATGTGGTGCAACTGCTACCCTTATTTCTATTTTTATTCTATTTTATGAATCTGTTGTGAATGGTCCCAAGACGTTTGTGAAGGGATGGTATAGAAAAGTTTTAAATAAATAAATAAATAAATAAATAAATAAATGTTGTAAATAAATAAATAAGATCGTGGACCAATGTGGCCAATACACCCCACATATATAACCAGCTACAGAGGGGAACCCTTTTAAATAACTGGTGGGGGGCATTTGGACATGTCCAAATATGAGATGGATGGACTCTGTAAAGGCAGCTGACTAGGGCTGTGAAGGACAGGACTTTCTGGAGGGCTTTCACTCATCGGGTGACCACCAACAGGAGAAGCCCTGATGGCACATGACACCAACATGTCTGCATGACATATCTGCTGTCTCACTCTTTGGTGCTCTTGGTGGATCAGTGAACTACAGTAAACCATGGCTGGCACCATTCAGAGATGTGTGTTGTTGCCAAACCAGAGAACACATGCCTATCTGGTAAATGAAGGGGCCTGATTTCTCATCTGACTTGCGGCTAGCTTCGACATTTGTGCTGGGGTGGATCCAGCTTTGCCTGCACTCTTCACAATGCTTACTCAGAAGGAAGTGCAGCTGAGATCAACCAGACTTGCTGTTTGTGTAAATATGAATGAAATGAAGAGGGTGGGTGTTTAAAGGGTTACTTAATGACCTAGGATGGGTTGTGTCAGCTTTCTCAATTAGGTCTAACTTTGTTGAAATTGTTTTAGATGTTTAAACCATTTAAAATGTTGCATATTTGGGGTTTTGTCTGTTCTGTATTTGTATACTGGAAGTATATTCTGTGCTTATTGTAGCTATACTTTATTGTACCTCTTTTTATTATATTTAAAGAAATTCCTGTGAACCACCCAGAGAGCTTCTGCTATTGGGCAGTACAGAAGTAAAGGAAAATAAAAATAGGTAAAGCTTCAAATGTGCCCTTTTGTAATTATGGATATTGGTCAGATGTCTTAAGGTAACAATTACATAGTATGTTGCACATAAGGAGGGTTTGTAATAATGTGGAAACAAGACATACACTTTGGGCATTTTAGAAATTATCTCAAATGATCCAGTTAACAACTACTCCTTATTGAGTAATCCAATTAGATTTATTTATATTCATATTCTGTTTCTTCAGAATAGGCAACTAATAGTAGAAATACCCATTAAGGGAAGAGCAGAAAAACCATATGATAAAATCAGAGAGCAGAGGTATGATGGGCAGGTAGGCTGTACCTTAAAAACCCAAGAGCCCTTCTGGAATGTATTAAGTTCCATCAAGCCCAAAGTCCTGCTTCCAAGAAGGGCATCCAAGTAACTGTCTTCTCTAGCCATCTTCTTGTCCTTGTCATGGATTTGTTTAACTCTTTGAACGCAACCAAACCAGTGGCTGTCACCATGCATGCGTCAGTCAGTGAATACTAGAAATTCAATGAGGTGTGATGTATGCCTGTAGTCTTTCCTAAACATTCTTTAAAGGAGAGGAGAGATATGATCAAGGCATTTTGCTTGCCTTCTGCAGAACCTAACTAGTGATGGACAACGTTGTCCATTTCTCTTTCTTCTACAGAATTTTTTCCCAAGTTCTTTCTCTGTTGAATATGAATTTTGCAAATGCTACCAAATTCTAATCCAAAATCACACTGAAATAAAAGTTTCTCACCAATCTGAACAAGTCCAGTCCAAAAGGTACAGCTATCCCCGTCATGAAGAGGACAATCTACCTGCCTGAGAGTTGAGGAGCCCGTCAAAGAAAAGGAGGTGGCAACCACAGCAGAAGACTGCCATGGCTGAACAAGCAGGGATTGAAGTCCAGACTGGTAAGAGCTAAGCACTCAAAACCCTGGGTTAAATCTGCTACATGTTGGTTTCTCCCAAATAGATACTAATCTCAAATCCTTTTCATTCCAATTACGAAGACCTTTGCAAATGCTGTTAAGCTCTTATCAAAATCCAGCTGAAATGAAATTCAGTTCTCACTCATCCCTAGGCTTGAAGACTGTGTGGAGAAAGAGAATAAAAAATAGGATGGGGGTGGGGAAATGACAAAGGAAACGAAATATCATTCTTACCTGAAATCTGTGCCTATCCTTTTGCCTCGATCTGGAATCCCAGGGTCCGGGCACATGTTGTGTCCCTGGGACACACCAACCTGTGTTACTACAAAGCAAAAAAACAGCATATACAGAGATAGAATAGAAGACAGAATCTGTTTGTTCTCTTTGAATGCATCAATTTTCTGGGGTTGGTGGATGCCGAGAAAAAACAGGAAATTACAAGTTGGAATGCATTCACTGTGTGCGCGTGTTTCTCTCCGCCCTCTCCCCCTCTTTCTTTCTTTCTTTCTTTCTTTCTTTCTTTCTTTCTTTCTTTCTTTCCATTTCTGTTCTGGAAATAAGTGCAATGGCATCTCTGCTCAATTTGGGGGGTATCACAGTTTCTGCCAGCAATACAGCTCTTGCCCCATTTTCCTCCCCTTCCCCCAACCCCAGTTTTAAAGCCAGCTGAAACACATAACTGAATGTGCCCTTGCATTTCATGGAAACACAGGCAAAACTGCCAAAATTAAAGGGCACATTTCCAGAGCCACACATGAGAAAGGTCACCTGTGGAATAATGCCAAACAGCCCTAAGAGATCACCCAACCCTCACCTGGTGGATGCTAATGAAACAAACAGCTAAACCAACCAACCAACCAACCAACCAAGTAGGGGAAGGCAGCATTCAAAGCATGTAGGGAGAAGAGGGGGAAAGAGGAGACAAGCCAGTCAGGGAGTTTCAAAGCTAGGAATTTTGTTTGGATGTGGAAAACCTGCAGACGCACGACCTCCTTCATCAGCAAGGAAAAGAAATCCAAGGTAACAATATTAAAACCCCACCACCCAGCCCAGCATCGTATTCTTTGCCACCCACCGAATTGCAGCAATTCAAGAAATAAATATTGTAAAATGACATGGATCTAACCAGGATGAAATGAGATCTGGAGAAAATATGTTCAACAGCATACTCTGACTTTATTTTATTTTTATTATTCAAATCAAATAAATGACTAAATACAAGCAAGGGAAGAAACAGCATGTACTAAATGCCATGTACCATCACCATCAGAGTTGAATTTTATTTCTTCTTCTTTCTTTTCCCCCTGCTTTTGCAATGGAGCAGTTGAAAAGTTCATGATTTAATTTTTTCATGTTGCACTGGGTGAGAAGGTGGGTGAAGTGAAATGAGAAATTTCTTAGTAATGAAAACAAAAGCAGCAGAGTGTGACAGCACGAGTGAGCATGCCTCGTTCCAACTGCACCTGGGCAACGACAATGATGTACACATACTTCACAGTAGATCCATGAAGAGCCTTTGAGGCTGGGTGGCAGCAGAAATGATAAAGAGATGGAAACCGGAGTCTTTGCCAGCAGGTGTATCTCTTTCACAGGTAATGGGATGGGGTGGCCTGCCAAAGAGTGAGCTGGCTCCCAGACAAGCATCCTTGGCATGCTAACACCCGCTCGTTGCAATCCCATGGGTCGGCATTGGAACCAGCCTGCGCTCCCAACCAGAATCAGATGAGAGCTATGCAGAGGAGGCCCTCACCACCGCCCCGCAAGCAAGGAACCCCGGGGGGGGGGTCATGGAACACTTGGGCAAACCGGAGACCATGATGCCCTAGGATTTGCTCGTTTCTCCTTCTGTGACCTTGACCTCCTTCCTGCCATTCACCATGCAACTGACTGTCAGAGAACCTTGTTGGTGTAGCTGGACTGCTCTCCTGCCTTAACCTGGAAGAACAGAAACTGGACAGCTGGTCACACTAAAGTCTGGTCTATTCGTGTGCAAAGTGTGTTCAGCAGTCCACTCAGATTCAAGCCGTATTGTGACATTCCCACTTACACTGTGAACATGTTTGTCTACTCCCACACAAGGTGTACATTCCATCAGCACAAGTATCAACTGCACCTAAGGAAACACTTCAGAGGCAGTGCACCTCTCAAAACAGGCATTCCGGGATAGTTCTCCTCACCCCCAATTTCCATTTATTCCCCAAGCGGAGGCCAGTCCCACAGGCATGCACAGGTGTCCATATGCCCGAATAAGGATTTCTCCAGAGAAATTTCTTCTTCATCATGCAACCAACCTGCTGTTCATCTCATGAAACACAACTTCCTATGAGCACAGAATCGCCTCTCCAGATCTTTTCCAAGCAAGCTGCATGGACCACAGGAACTGTTTCTCACAGGCACACAATGCCAAGTGCAAATTGTCCCATATGGGGTGGGATCCCAATGGGAGACAATACTGTTGCCACAGTCTTGTGTAAACACACGCACAAACACACAGGCATCATCACAGCTTTGTCTGGGGACTATCAGCCTGCACGATTTCCGCCGTTCTACAAGGCCGAGCAACAGTACCTTGAACTTTATTCACATGGTTCCAGAATACAGACAGGCACTCCTGTGCCACTGGATTGCGCCATGGGACAACGGCTCCACGGGGATGGGGATACAGGGACAGAGAGAGGGAGGAGGATGCCAGTGCAGTGAAATGACAGAGCAGTTGTTGTCAGCATTATGGCTTTGGGACCACTGGCAACACTTCATGACCCATGGCAGAATACTGGAAATGTGAACCAGAGGACAGGGAGCTCCTCACAAACAAGGTGGACCTGGGCTCCCCACAGTGCTTCCAAGCTGTGTAAGCAGAGTACCCAAGGAGGCCGGGACATGTGTGCATTCCCCACTTTTCAGAGCCACCTACTTATTCAATGGCCAAAAATATCAAAATGAGAAGTTCCCGTATTCAATAGAGTTGAATTTCACCCTCCTGTATAGATGCTGGAATTAAAACAAGAATGAAACGTAAGGATGATTAACCGATGGAAGTAAAAATAAATAATTAAAGAGAAGACAGAAAATCTATCACTTTTAATTACAGTAAAAGACGATTAGGTTGGAGGTTATCCTATGCTAGAAGGAATGTAACCCCACTCTGCCACCTCACTTCCAACGTCTGTGGTTGGGCCCAACTGACAACATACTTTCAAAGTACGGCAAGGTTTCCCCTTACCTGTTTATTTACTTATGATATTAAAGGCTTGGACCTAAGCAGGCTTTGCGTTCCTTCCTGACTTGAGGGAGCACAGGTGGAGCTGGAGTCATTAGCAGTTGGGGGATGTTCGAAGACAGCAGTGTTCTCCATGTATTCTCTGGGGCAAGCTCTCTGCCTCGCAGTCGGGTTTAAATGTGTACTCATCCGCACTCATGGCTGGGTCTGGCAAGCTCTCTCTCGAGGGAGGCTCAGAGCCTTGTAGCCAGGACATAAAAGCTGCCCTGATCAGAGCCCACAGCAGGTTCTTAACTTAAAACTTGGAGGGTGGCAGATGGGCATAAAGCACGGCCACTCCATTCTAGGCATGGAAGGCAACAATGGGCCGTCCCAGTTGGATCAGCCAAGAACCATCTTGGGAAAAACCAGAAGCGAGGTATACCACTGCTGCTGAGGGAACTGCCAGGCTGTCCCTTTGCTGCTGGGTCACAACACGGCTTCTGATGCTTAGGTACAAACCCTAAACAACTTGGGGCTAGCAGGAATTCTTGCGAGTGCCGTCTTCCTTATCAACCTGCTAATCACTGGTGGACAGTCTCCTTGTGGTTTCACATGGCCAGACTGGAGTCCACCAAGAAGAGTCTGCAGTGTGCTGGCCCCGCTGCGGTGGAATGCCCAGTTGCTGGAGGGCAGGCAGGCAGGCACCAACAGTATTTTCAGTGCCCGCTGAAGATATTTGTGTTCCAGGAAGCCTTCCTTGCTGACAAATCATGGTTTCTTGTCAATGCATTGTTTTTATTTGCTAATCTAGTTTATTGTTTTATTGTTCCATGTTTCAGAATCTGTGCAGATGGCATGCAACTGCTGTAACTAAATAAATGTGCATTTAAATGTGCCTTTGCTTTTAATGATCCTATTTCCAAACAAAAGATCAGTGGGGGTAGATGCTAACAATTAGTTGGGATCAAGGAAACTGAACCCTTTCCTCTCCTAAGGAAATCTGCTGCTCCAAAGCTGGTAGTTACAGAGGACATCCAAAGCCCTGGTGCCAAAATCAGGAATGCTCCTTGCCATATGGAGTTTTCTTCATGGGGGGTTTCCACGCAACATGAGGGGAAACATAAAAATTCCCCTTCCACACCCTGATGCAATTCCAACCCTATTCTTTAATTTTGAAAAACCTGCACTTTATATACAAGGTCCTATTCAGGGCCACATTTAGGTTGCCCCTTAGATTCAACTTCACTCAGTCTGTGCATCACAACGCCGACAAGAATTTCAGGAGAAGTACAGGGAAAAGATGGTTTTCCAGGCAGTAGGAAAAACAGGCAGCTGCTACAACAGGTTAGCCCCGTGGTAATGGCACACCAAGCTCTTTTGTGGTTCTTTTCCCCATGCACCCCCCCCCCCTGCCCCAGCCCCTCCATGGGGATGGAAATCTTGAAACTTCGTTCAGATAGCCAGGTAAAAAATATCAGCAAAACACTCAACCTGCACACATTTCTCTGGCAATTACAGAACCTTGGAAAAACAGAGTGCTCCCCGCACAAAAGAGAAGACCTCTCGAGTCCTGCAGCACCGAGAGCAGGCCCCCTAGCCTTGCCCTGTGATGAGCATGGGTGTGCCAGCTCCCCTCCCCTGGCCCATGGACAGTTATCAGGTTGTGGGTGGCCCATTGTGACAACCAGAGGGGTCGTCCCAGCCCGTATGCTCTGCCTGGCCTTTGCCCTTTGGATGGTGCCAGGTGCTCCTAAGGTTTGCCTCGGGGGCACTTGCACTGGAATGTCCAATGCCACACCACCCTCTGGGACACAGACCAGCAGTCCTGAGATAGGACCTGTCCGTTTTGACAACAGGACATCCATCCCCCCGTCTCTTCTTGCAGACTTTCCCTCCAGCCAGCTGCTCCCTCCAGCCAGCTGTAGTCCACAGCGCACCACAGAATGCGTGGCTTTATTACTAATTGGCTTGATTCATTGATGCACTGTGTTTCCAGGTTTACACTTTGGTACAGTTATGGTGCAGGCTCATGATTTTGGTAACTCTGTAGAAAGCTGCATATTATTTGGGCAGTAAATAACCAGTGAGAAAGATGGCTGAAGATGTCTTCTCCTTCGAGA